TGATCCGCAGGCCGTAGAAGGCTGTCACGCTAGGCCTAGCTTGAGCATATGAGACCTCAAAGCCCTCCTTCACAGTGACACACTTCCTACAAAAAGACTACATACTCCAACAGGGCCACACCTCCTAATAGTGCCACTCCCTATGGGCTAATCAATCAAACGTGAATCTATGGGGGGCATGCCTATTCAAACCACCACAGTTGTGAACTAAAAACACCTTCTCTTCCACATTGCTTTTCATCAGTGTGTTTTATCACAGCAACAGAAATGCAACTGGGACAGTACTGCTTGGATATTGATGCCTTGCTGACTTTTCAAACTAAGATTATTTTTAAAAAAAATACTATGTGTGGGTATGCACACATGAGTGGGTATTCGCATATATGTAGAGATACTCTCAGAAACAGAAAAGAACATCAGATCCCCCAGCATTAGAGTTATAGGCAGTTGTGAGCCACCTAATGTGGATCCTGGAGATTAAACTTGGCTCCTTTGCAAGAGCAGTATGTGCTGTTTTGGGGGGAGGGTTGGGACAGGGTTTCTCAGTGTAACAGCTTTGGCTGTTCTGGAATTGGATTTGTGAACTAGGCTGGCCTCGAACTCACAGAGATCTGCATGCCTCTGCCTCCCAAGTGCTGGGATTAAGGGCATGTGCCACCATGTCTTACTGCAGTATGTGCTCTTAACTGTTGGGGTATCTGTGCTGGTTAGTCTTCTGTCAACTTGACACAAGCTAGAGTCAGTTGGGAAGAGGGACTCTCAATTGGGAAAATACCTCCGTCAGATTGACCTATAGGGTAGTCTGTCAGGGAATTTTTTTCATTAATAATGTCCAAGTTGCAAAGTCCTCAGAGACCACCAGGAAGTCAGACCCACCAAAATGCAAAAGCAAGGTTTTAATTGTTCATCCAATCACAACAGGGACCCCCATCTAGCAAGCTGATGCAGCAGCTTCCAGAGGGAGTGAAGTTCCCTGTCTACTGCTAGGTTTTATAGACCAAAGTTACAGGGTTACATCAGTAGGTACGGGCTGGTTTCTGATTGGTTGACATTTGGGAACCATTAGGAGAATTTCTCAAAGTCATATTTTGGCATGAAATACCTGTGTACCAATTATTTTCATTGGTCAGTGCCGAGAGGGAACATTCTGTTGTTTCTATGGTATTGTCTTATCACTTATAGGTGGCCTGTTGTACATAGATACTAATAGTTTTCAGAACTATATCCTGGAGACTACAGGAGAGGTTTTGGTCTCCCCTGGAGTTTCTTTTGTGGCCAAACAGTTCCCAGAAACCAAGTATCTAGGAGGCTGGGGGTAGGGCATCTGCATCTGGAGTTTCTTTGTGTTCAGTTTTGGTCCTAGACTCCGGGAGGCCAGAAGATCTGGAGTTTCCTTGTGTCAGAGGCCTACGTGTCTTTTCTGTAGCCTGTCATGGTTGCTAAAGCAGGGGGCTGAGTGAGGGTCTGGTCCCTTTATTTCTAAATTCTTAGAAGTGAAGCCTTTGAGTTTAGTTTACCCCTTTCAATAATTCATGTGAGAGGGTCCAGCTCACTATGGGAGGTGCTGCCTCTGGGCTGGTGGTCCTGAGTTGTATAAGAAAGCAGGCTGAGCAAGTCCCAAGGAACAAACGAGTAAGCAGAACTCCTCCATGGTCTCTGCTTTACTTCCTGCCTCCAGGAATCTGCCTTGAGTTCCTACCCCGACTTCCCTTAATGAATGACTATGAGTTGTGAGGAGAAACACATTTCCTAAGTTGCTTTTGGTCACGGTGTTTTTAACCGCAGATCTAGAATTAAGACACCATTTCTCCAACCTCTCTTGCTGCTTTCTTCTTTTTGGTCTCCCTAAAGAGAACAGGCCTCCTCTGCCGTGTCCTTGCCCGTTTCATGCTGCTTCGCCTCAGGCTCTAAATGCAGTAGTCCACCTGTTCAAGGCCTGAGACCCACAAAGCTCAGAGCAAAACACCAGTTCATGCTTATAAGCTCAAGCAAGAATCGTTTTCCTTATCTCTGCCACCTCACTACTCAACAGAAGCAACCTCAAAGAGGTGGGTTTTTGCTGGGCGTTGGTGGCGCACACCTTTAATCCCAGCACTCGGGAGGCAGAGGCAGGTGGATATCTGTGAGTTTGAGGTCAGCCTGGTCTACAGAGTGAGTGCCAGGATAGGCTGCAAAGCTACACAGAGAAACCCTGTCTTGAAAAACGAAAACAAAAAACAAACAAAAAAAGAGGTGGGTTTTCCCTCATGATTTCAGAGGGCTTCATGTAGAATGGTGGGGGAAATTAAGCAGCTGACATGGCTGAACAGTTCAGTTTACTGAATTCACAGCTGGGCCAGGCCATTGGTGACTTTTCTCCCCCTGCACAGGACTTCCTGGCATTATGAATGTTAGCCAGCAGGGAGGAGACTTCCAGTGTGGGTCCAGCCTGTCTGAGGGTCAGCAAATGGAGCTTGCCACTAGCTAACCATAGAGGTCTGGAGGTCTGTACAGACAGACAGGAAGTGAGGTAGCTGGGCAGAAACAGGATATAAGCAGGGAGAAACAGGAAATTGCTCTCTTGTCTGCTGAGACACTAAGGAGGTAAGGTGTGCCATGGCTTGCTCCTCTCTGATCTCTCAGCATTCCCCTCTATATATCTGACTCTCGCTTTTTATTATCTAGACCAATTAAGAACTCCATTTACATTTTGGCATCCTGCTGTTAATATATGTTTCTCTTATTGGTTGATGAATAAAACACTGATTGACCAGTAGCCAGGCAGGAAGTATAGGCAGGGCTACCAGACTAGGAGAATTTGGGGGACAGGACACAGGGAGAAGCCGCCAGGAGATGCCATATAGCCGCCAAAGGAATAACAGGTCTGAGCATTCTCCAGTAAGCCAAGCCCACATGGAAATACTTAGATTAATAGGAATGGGTTAATAATTAAGAGAGAGCCAGTCAATAAGAAGTATAAGCCTTCGGCCAAACAGTTTATAATTAATATAAGCCTCTGTGTATTTATTTGGGACTAAAGGCCTGTGGGACCTGGTGGAACAGAAACTCCATTTACACCCTACCCTCCTAGTCACTTTCTGTGAAATCAAGCCTTCAATTTCCACAAATGACTCTGTCTCACAAAAAATATGTTAGAGCCTTGGGAGAGCTAGATGGGTAAGGGTACTTGATGACAAGCCCAATGACCTGAGTTCAAGCCTAAGAATTTATGTCATGTAGGAGGAGAGAACAGACTCTATACAATTGTCCTCTGACCTCCACACATATACCATGGTACAAATGGACCCCCCCAAATCCTCCAGTAGGAGAGATGACTCAGTGCTTAAGAGCACTTGTTGCTATTGCAGAGGACCTAGGTCTAACTCCCAGCAAGCACCTGGTAGCTCCTAATTATAACTCCAGTTCCAAGGGATCCAATAGGTACACACATACACACTGAAATACATGTATGCAAACAAAACATTCATATACTTAAATTAAAAATAAATCTAAGAAAAAATTTAACAACATAGGTTGTATCTGTAACTCAGTGATAGATACAATACATAGTATACATGAGGCCCTAGATCCAATCCCTGGTATTGGCAGAACAAAAGAAAACAAAACACCATCTTCTCCAACAAAAACCTAAAGGCAGACCATGTATGAAGAATGACAGTCAAGGTTGTACTCTGGTCTCCACACACAAGTGTAAACATGGGCATGTGCAGCCCCACCTGCACAAATGTACCTGTGTACACAAAATTAAATGTATTAAAGATAATTGTTATGATCATATCATGCCTGGTATTACAGGCTGCAATCCCTAGTACTAAGACAGTTGAGGCAGGAGAATCACAAGTTCAAGAGCTGCCTGGGCTATATGGTGAGTTCAACCCCAGTCAGGGCAGCCTCAGACCCTGTCTCAAAATTTAAAGACAAAATTAAAAGGAGGGATAGCATTGTAGCTTAGTCGGTATGTGCTTGCCTGGCATATACAAAGCTCTGGCCTTCATTCCAAGTACTGGTTAAGAAATAAGAAAGGCAAAAAAGAAAAAACAAAACTAGTGGAAAATAGGTTTCTCATCATTGGAGAAGGAGTTAAGGTGTCGAAATCTGTAGAGCTCAACAGAGTACAGTGGAGTGTTAGCACCAGTTATTAATTTTCAAAATGTATAAGAGCATGGGCCCGTGTGTTTGTATATTATGGTACAAATAACATTTAAACTGCATTTATTGTGCATCTGTGTTCATTACTTTTGTGTTGCTGTGATAAAACACCATATCCAAGGCAACCTACAGCAGAGTTTATCTGGGGCTTACAGTTTCAGAGGGTTAGAGTCCCTGATGTCCTAGCAGAGGTAGCAGAAGCGGACAGCTGGGGCAGCAGTTGAGAGCTCACATCTCAAAGAGCAAGCAGGGAACTCAGGACTGCTGGAGTCTCCAGTGCACACTTCCTCCAACAAGGTCTCACCTCCTAATCCCTCCCGCCCAGTTCTGCCAACTGGGGACCATGTATTCAAACATCAAACATATGGGCCCATGGGGGCCATTCTCATGCAGCCACTACACACACACCGTGTGTGTGTGTGTGTGTGTGTGTGTGTGTGTGTGTTTCATGTGCCATTGTGTGCATGTGCTCAGGGGACAATTTGTAGGAGTTAGTTCTCTTCTTTCATCAAATGGGTTTGGAGGGTCCCACTCAGGTCGTTGCCTGGTGTGGTGGCACACACTTTTAATTCCAGCATTCAGGAGACAGAGACAGGTGGATCTATTTGAGTTTGAAGCCAGCCAGACCCTATCTCCAACAAACTGACCACAGGTCACCGGTGATTGGTGGTGAGCGCCTTCACCCACTGAGCATAATGATTTTGTTGCATTTGGGGAGCCTGCGGAACCTTTAAGGTGTGGCTGACAGCAGTAGGACATTAGGGTCAGGCCTTGGGGGTTGTCACCCAGTCTTGCTTCCATCTTTCTGTCTCTGCTTCTTGTCTCCCACTGCAATGTGACCAGTGACTGTCACCACTGATGGAATTGCGCTGACTGTCCATGCTGTGATGGACTCTGTCCTAATCCGTGAGCTGAAGTAAATCCCACCACAATCTACGTCTGCCAGGTATTTGGTCACAGGAATGTGAAAGGTAATTAATATGGCATACATATTCATATATGTATGTAGTGTGCATATTTACATTTGTATGCATAAACATACACGAATGTTTATGTATGAGTCTATGTGGACGTGTGTATGATTATGTGTATGAGTATATCTGTGCATGTGGGTGTGAGTATGAGTGTCTGTATTTAAATGCTCGGCCCTCAGTTGGTGGAACTGTTGGGAAGGGTTAGGAAGTGTGATCTTGTTGGAGAAGGCGTGTCACTGGAGACTGGCTTTGAGGTTTCAAAAGACTCTAGCACAGTGGTCCTCAATCCTAAAACTTCAACTTTTAATGCAGTTCTTTATATTATGGTGACCCCCAACCATAAAATCATTTTCATTGCTACTTCATAATTGTAATTTTGTACTGTTATATAATGTAAATATCTGTGTTTTCTGATAGCCTTAAATGACCCCTATGAAAGGGTTATTCAACCCCCAAAGGGGTCATGACCTATAGGTTGAGAACCACTGCTAGATCCCTTTGTTTCCCAGTGTGAGCGTTCAGCTGCTGCCCCAGCTGACTGTACTTGTGTATATAGCTTTGTTTTAATGCATGTATGGGGATGCTTGCGTTCCCATTTGTTTAATGAGAGGATCTGAAGCTGTGATACTCCAACAACAATGAATACCCTGATATCCAGATCTGGGTTTCTGACGTCCATTTTCCACTTGAAAGCATCACCATTTTGAGAAAACAGTTAATTCCCAAGGGGAGGGTAAGGAGTAAAGCTGGGGTATAAAAGTGGGGCAGAAGAAGAAAACCAAAAACAATTAGGGGATGTCAGAAAGGTTCAGAAGCAAACCAGATAAGCATCTACTGGCCAAAGCAGACAGTTTAAGCACTAAAGGAAAAAGAAACATCAGCACAACGACAGAGTGAAATTCCCCCTTCCCTAAGAGCAGTTAAAAGTCTAGTGAGATTTGACAGAATCAACGGTTTCCAGAACCCTGGAAAGGATCCAAAAGCTTACAGCAATCCAGTAAGCATTTAGCAAAAACAAAACCAACCTCAAACCTCTCAAAAGAGCAAGCACTATGGAATTCCAAGCTGCCCTACCTCCAGTCTCTCTTCCTCAGAAGTCGATTCTCAATTAATTAACTAATGGAGACAAGGTGTGTAACCGTGGCTGGCCTAGAATTCTCTATGTAGATCAGACTGGCTTTCAATTCACAGAAATTCACTGAGGAGTGATGAGCAAAGGGGTCAAGACCATGCTGGAGAGACCCACAGAAACAGCTGACCTGAGAAAGTGGGAGCTCATGGACCCCAGTCTGATAGCTGGAGAACCAGTATAGAACCGAACTAGGCCCTCTGAATGTGGGTGTCAGTTGGGAGGCCAAGGAGGTCTATGGGGCCTCTGTCAGTGGAACAGTATTTATCCCTAGTGTACGAATGAGAGTCCATTCCCTATGGAGGGATATTCTTTCAGTCTAGATACATGGGGGAGGGCCTAGGTCCTGCCCCAAATGATGTGACAGACTTTGATGATCCCCCATGGGAGGCCTCATCCTCCCTGGGGAGTGGATGGTGGGTTTGGCGGGGGGGGGGATGGGAACCGGTATTGGTATGTAAAATAAGATTGTTTTTAATATAAACAAAAATTAACTAAAAAGGGAAAAGATCTCTTGTTTGTTTGCCACTGTGTGCCCCAGAACAGTTGGCTTGAGCTCTGGGGATTCTCCTGCCTCCATCTCTGATCTCAGAAGGCCATGAGGACAAACACAGTCACAGCCAGTTGCTACTCCCTTCTAGGAAGGACCCTTTGATTGAAGAGCCAGACTTGGGGTCCCCAAACCTCAGTCCTGCCTGACCTTTGGTAAGGTTGACCACCAGCAGCACAGAGAAGACAATGAGGAACAGGACCTGCAGTGGCGGAACTGGAGTGACAGGTGTGTGACGCCATGTCAGCCTCAGGTCCTTAGGTTCGTGTAACAAGATTTTACCCACTGAGCCAACTATCTAGTCACTTTTTAAAATGTATTTTTATTTTATGTGTATGAATATTTTGCCTACATATAAGTGCACTGTATGCAGCAAGTGCCCTTGAAAGCCAGGAAGGCAGCAGCTGATCTCCTGGAAGTAGGGTTAGAGGTATTTGTGAGCTGCCATGTGGGTGCTGGGACCTGAACCAGGTTCTCTGTAACAGCTGCCAGTGCTCTTAACCACTGAGTCATATCTGCAGTACCTTATTTTTATTTTTAAGTTATGTGTATGCACACATGAGTACAGTTCCCACAGTGGCCAGAAGGCGTTAAAGGACCATAATTTGTTATGTACATCCAGGGTACAAAAACTTAATTTCCTAGTTACCTGCTAAACACTCACACCCAAAATCATGTACAGGAAGCTAGATGAAGCCCTTTTCTAGAATTAGTTAGTACTCTATATGACCATTAATATCATGACAAGAAGTTTACAAAATATACATCTTATAAATTTTGATACTTTATACCTTAAGAAAAGTTTTAAAGAGTCAAAATAAAACCAAATAATTATGAGATTAGTGGCAATAGAATAGTCCCTTAGTTTTTGTTTTCCTTCTGTCCCATGTTGGGCAGCTCTTCTGAAATGATGTAGAGATTTTGGATTTTCCTTTAGTAAGCATGTTTGAGTTTAGAAAAGGAGAAAGTCACACTCCAACTCCAAAGCCACCTTTAATTTTTAATGGAACTGGGACTACAAAAGACCATTTGAATTAAATGTCTGTAGAGAACAGCAGAAACAAACATTTGGGAAGATTTATGAAATTTTATCTTGTTGGAAATGTGATATACCAATAGGCCAATTTACTCTTTTTCTTGGGACATTTTTTCCTGGGTTATTTGTCCTTTTTCTTCAGATGTCTCATTTGTCCAGTGGTCTTTAGATTCCTTACCTGGATGCCTTCATTCTCCTGAAAAGTCAAAAACAAAACCCTGCTCCAACCCTAATTTGGGGAGGTTCCCTTTTGGCAAGCTAAATGTGATCAAATGAAAAGACTAACAAATCATTTGTTTGTCTTACAAATTAGTTTAGAATGGTCATACAGTTTGACAAGCTATCACCTCATATAATCAACAGGCCTCTCATTCAAATCTAATCTTAATACTATTTGCTTTATGGTCTCTCCTGAAATTTTTGTTTTATCTTCCAAAATTGTCCTATCATCTAGAGCAGTTTTTTTCAATAGGCATTAGGTCCTTTAATTGCTCTAGGAAGGTATTTTCCCCATGGTAACAGGAATGACTGAACAAAATTTGACATGGGGGCCTGTGAGTGGCCCCTCAAGGCATTTTCTGATGGCAAAGGGTTACCTTGTCTGTCCCTTGTTGATCTACATTCATTGGTACAATGTCAGCCTTTGCTGCACCTTCTGCATACTCCAGAAGGCAAGGGCCTTCTATTTAGATTAGAAGAAACAGTGTTTCTAGGAATGCCCTGACTAAAATCCCTATTTATTTGACTTTGTTTGTCACAATTAAAACACCTGACATGTTGATTTTCCTTCAAATCTCTGGAAGTCACTTGTCTCATCCAATTATCATTGTTATAACATTCGATATTGACTGTATCTTGGATCCATTCTTCTATGGGTGCTGATCTTGCCTTTTAAGGCCCAATTATCCTTTTGCATTGTGATTTAGATTTTCAAAAGTCAGTGCTTCAATGATTATTTGTCTAGCTTCTGAATTTGGTATCATTCTATTTATAGTTGAAGTCGATCTTTGTTAAAAAAAATTAGTGAAGGTTTATTTTGGGCCCTGAATAACTTTAGTAAATGACTCAGTTCTCTTTCCAACTTCTTCAACTCTGCCCCAAGCATTCAAAACTGCTGCATGGCACAGAGCCAGGGTATTGTCATCACATAGAGACTGTCTTTGTACATTTGCATAATCACCCTCTCCAGGACATTGGTCTTGGGAAATCCCAAATTCACTCTGAGGACTTGGAGAAGGAAAGGAAAATCCAGCCGGTGGCACGGAGAGTGCACCTCCTACATGCAGCTTCAGCAAGTGGCTATTTTGTGAATTCCTGGCCCAAAAGCTGGACACCAGATGAAGCGTTAACCTAATTAATCTTAATCAATAAAAATCAGATATTGGGATAAGAACCAGTTGCTTCCTACTGCTTTCCTTCCTACATCCAAAGAGGTGAGATCCTGTCTTCACTCTGCCTTGTCACTTCCTGTTTCCTCTCTGTACAGTCCTCCAGACCTCTATGGTTAACTAGTAGATAGCTCTGTCCTCTCACTCCAAGCAAGCATTGTTTGTCAGAATACAAACAATCACACAACAACATTTCCCCTTGAGGTGTACCCTGAGTCAAATCCTTGAATTTGTGGTGGGTACCTGTTCATACTGGGACTTAATTACCATTAGCTTAATAGCTCTTAAGTGGGAATTTGCGTATCTGGTTAAAGCATTAATGATGCAGTGTAGATGAAAGTTTCAGTTCTACCTGGTCCTGCAGTCGATTAGCCCCAAATAAACACACAGAGACATATTAATTATTAAACTGTTGGTCAATGTCTTAGGCTTCTTATTGGTTAGCTCTCTCTTAATTATTATCCCACTTCTATTAATCTATGTATTGCCATGAGGCTGTGACTTACCTGTAATCCAGCATGCTGCTCCTTTAGCAGTATGTCGTCTCCCTCTGGTGGCTTCTTTCTGCCTCTCCTCATCTGGTAACCCGGCTTATCCTTCCTTCCTGGCTACTGGCCAATCAGTGTTTTATTCATCAACCAAAAAGAGAAACATATATACAGGAGGACATCTCCCATCATCTCCTCTTTTCTGTCTAAATAAAAAGAAATGTTTTAACTTTAACATAGTAAAATTATATATAACAAAACAGCTATCAACCAAGAACTATAGTTAATATCTAGTCCATTATCATTTGGCAAAATTTAAAGAAAATATTCTGTCATGTATCCTATCTTTGTGAGTCTAAAGTTTTATATGTAACTTATCTTTTATCATAACTAAGGAAAACCATAACCATAACTGTCTTCAACTCCATCAAAGACCACAGAAGGATAATATATAAACTCTAAAATTTACAGAGCCATCTTGCTTCCAGGACAGTCACCCAAAGTTCTCTGTAATGTTGGAGCATCCATCTTTAGTCTATGGGCCATAGTGTGTCTGGCAGACTTCTCAGTGAAGCAGGAAATTTTAAACTGTCCTCCTGTATTGACAGTTTGTTAGCCTTTTTTTTGTATGTGTCTTGTAGAATGTCTGGCAGACTCTTCCATGAAGCAGGAACCTTGCAGCACTGTCCCATCTTGTTTTGGCAAGTTAAGCAGTCACTTTCCTATGGATCCTTCATGTCCAGTTTATACAGCATACAATCAAACAGTCTAGGCAAGAGCCATTTCTTGCCCAAATGGCTATTTCTGCCATGTTGATGACAAACTCCATAACAATTTTTTGATGTTCATCTTCCTCTCTGAAGTAATTTGTGTCGCAAGGAGCAGTTGTGTTTCACTGTCATGAAAAACCCTAATAAACCATTTTAAATGCTGTATTCTATAGGTCTTTGAAAGGTTTTGAAGAATGTCTATCCATTTGAAGTATATCTCTATCTAAAAAACCTAACTAACATAAGGTGACTATCTATAATCTGTATTTAATTATAGTTACATTTTCAAATGAGCTGTATAAACACAATACCTAAACAAGAGGAAAATATACCTATAACAAATTGACCTTAAATTTGTATCAATAAATGAAAATCCATACCAATGTAAAGTGTTCATTTCTATATCAATGCAGGGGCCAACCATAATCTGCAGGGGCAGACAAGCTGAGGGCCCTATGATGACTGACAGTAGTGTTACTAGCCAGGAAGAACCTGAGAAAGAAAATGGGAGCCCTTTACTTCCTCCTTGTAGGGCCTCTTCCCTCTATGTGAGACATTTTTGTATTTCTGACAAATTATCCCTGATAATTCCTGAATGGTTTGCATAGCAGCATGTTTCCCCAAGGTCATATGGTAAGCTTCTTGTTTGTGTAAAGGAGATCAAACATCCTACTATGTTGTAAGACTACCTCACTAATGAGTTCATTCTGTTCCTCTATTTTTTTTTTCGAGACAGGGTTTCTTTATGCAATCCTGGCTGTTCTGGAATTCACTATGAAGACCAGGCTATCCTTAAACTTAGAGGACTACTTGCCTCTGCCTCACAAGAGCTGGGATTAAGGGCGTGTGCCACCACTGCCCAGCTTAGACATCCTAAATTTTTGTAGTTGACATCAACCATTGCTCTGCTTGTTGCCTTGAGATTGGCTCCAGCCATTCCCAATCCTAAACTTGCTACTAGGGGTATGAGGAGAGGAACTGCACCTTTCTTTCTGCCCCAGGGTGCTGGAAAGATTTGTGAATACAAATTCTCAATCCATGGTAGGCTGTTATATACAAGCAGGGAAATAGGAATAGTAAGATACAGACTTTTGGGGTTTGATGCATATGACAAACAGTTAATCAGGGATGTAATCTGTCATCATATGTAAACTAAATAATTTCATCCAAGAGGTGAAGGAAGGGATGTCTACCTGATGAAGTGGTGGTCAGGGCTGTGAGGCATTCATGGGAAGTTTGCTTTCATTCTTAAAGGGGATTAGACATATATTCTGTGAAAGAGCAGGAGGGAACACAGACAAAACATTGTTAGTCTACAACCACGCCAGGCTTACCTTTAGTGGAGCGTCTCAGGCTTCAGTGATGGTCTATTTTCTGCAGCCGGGTCATCATGCCCGGTGACATACCTGATGCTGACACCATCTACCTTGACAGCAGTTGGGGTGGTCGGGATGACAAGGTGTGGTCCCTTCCAGTGGGTCCCAGTTTCCTTTAGACCAAACAGTTCAGCCTTTGTGGAGGATAAGGGACAACGAAGTCTCTTTTGTAAGTGCTTCTCAGCTGAGATTAGGACATTGCTGTCAGGGCCCATGAATGCTGGAATATGGTCAAAGGCCAAAGGTTGGGGGTCCTAGCAGTGGACATTCCTCAGAAGCATCTGGTTAACCAATCTAGCTGAAGAGACAAGTAGCAACCACATTGGATGGATTGGTTTACATCAGCTTTCAGAAAGTCCAGGGCTTGTGCCCCTTTGGAGAAGTTTCTGGGCCATAGCTGATTCCAGGATGGTGTCTGTCAGCAGAATGGAAATCTGGTGGGACAGATATAGACTAGGGACAGAAGTTAATGCTTAGGAACTTAAAGGAAAACCTTACATTTATAACTTCCCCCTCAGGAATAAGCAGTAGGTGGGGAAGTGTAGGCTGATTGACAGGTGGGTCCATGAAGCTTACATGGATTTAAAGTCTACAAAAAGAGATAAAAGTTTTAGATATATTAGCATTACCACTGTTTGTAACCTGTACAGAAATCCACATTATAGAAAAAAGCAATAGACCCATGCCTTTGAATCATAGTAAAAACCAGTGCTTTACCAGGGCCAGATAAAGAGCTTTTCAGAACCTCATTGGTTGATATGTTAAAACTCTGAGCCTTTTAAGTCTTAACATCATATAGTCTTTAACTTTCATTACTAATTTTAAGTTTTCTCAGACCCTTACAACTTACATAAACATTAACCCTTTTTCCATTCAATCATTTACCACAAGACATGAGTGCTTGATTACTGAGAGCAGTCATTGCAAAGCAAGTTCTTTCAAATAGAGGGATAGTAAAAGTTTCCTGGGAACCTGTTTGGTGAGTTTGTCTTTCTCACCAGGAGACCTAAAAAACAAGAGGGGAGGGAGAGGGAGTTGGGATTGACATGTGAAGCAACCTTGTTTCTAATTTAAATTTAAAAATAAAAAATGAAAATTAAAAAAATTAGCATTGTAATTGCTACATGTAAGGCCTATTAGGATTTTAAGCTCATTTAATTATTTGTAAAACATTAGAAATTGGTAGAATATATACTAAGAGCTGCTCTTGAGATGCAAAGAAAATCTAGCATAAAATAGTTTTAGAAATATCCTTTATGAGAATATGGATTGGTGCAAAATGTACATAGGTTTACACAAAGATGATTGTTGTAGAATAACTGCATACATTTCTTAATGTCTTTTATTTCTATTATGCTTGCCTTACAATTTTAATTCACTATAATAACTCTTAAAGATAAACAATAAAAATACTACTGTCCATTATAAGTTGGAAGAATCTAGGCCATAAAGATAAGTGCATAAATATAAGTGACTAATTTAAGATCCTATTTTTAAAAAGACTCTATAATAAAATTATTTACATAAAGTAACACCCCAAACCTCATGGCTTGTGATTTCCACAATTTTGTTTTAATTTAATGGCCATCATTTACCTAAGGAACTGTATTTTGTCAGGATAATTTCTCTACCTAGATTTAGAAAAAAATACTAGACCAAGAGCCTTTTGGGAATTGTGTGTGTGTGTGTGTGTGTGTGTATAAGGAGACCAGAAGTCAATGTTTGATGCTATATTATTTAGTTTCTGTTGCTGGGAAGAGACTCTGTGACCTTGGCATCTCTTATAAAGAAAGACATTTAATTGGGAATGGCTTACAGTTAGAGGTTTAGTCTATTATATCATGGCATGAAGCAAGGCTAACACACAGACATGGTGCTATAGAAGGAGCTGAGAGGTCTACATCGGGATCTGAAGGCTGTAGGAATAGGGTAAGCCGCTGGGCTTAGCTTGAGCTTCTGAAACCTCAAGCTTCTTCCATCTTCTAATAGCACCACTCCCTATTCACCCATGGGGGCCGTTTTCATTCAAACAATCACAGGTGCCTTCCTCAGCATTCCTACTTTGTATTTTGGGAAGAAGACTTTCACTGAACTTACGACTCACTGATTCAGCTAGATTGGCCTGTCTCCACCTTCCCAGTGCTGAAATTGCAAGAGACAGTCACACATTGCTACACCTGGATTTATATTTTGATCCTGGATATCTGAAATTAGTTTACCATGCCTAGGTGGCAAGCATTTCATTGAATGGGTCTTCTTCTAGTTCCCACATAGGTTTTTTAATTTCATGTGTAATCATACAGGTTGAAAAAATATTTTTAAAACTCCCAAAAGACAAATTTTAAATGTAAGACAAATTAAGTGGGATGATACTTAATAATATATCTAAAAAATTTTCTAAGACAAATTTCCAAGTGGTGTTTCATTTTACCCTTTCTAAATTATGCTTAAGTGCACTGTAATTTCTTTTCATTTAGACTGCTTTGTTTAATTGTTTCCTGAGACTTTCATTCATGAATACTATATTTACATTAGTTCTTTTGGCTCTTTCCTTCTTCCAACTCCTCCCACACCCTCCAACCTCAACTCTTTTAAAAATTTTAGCCTCTTTTTCTTTAATTATTATTGTTACACACACACACATAATATGTTCAGTGTTGTTCATATATATATATTTACATAAACACATATACCCATATACACACATAATATGTTAAGTGTTGTTCATATATATATATATATACATAATCACATATACTCATATACACACATACACCACATACAATATCTGCTGTGATGCAGGAGTCAGACCCTTTGCAGACTTTGTCATCCACCTTGCCATGTCAAATGGTGTTGTCTGTTCAGTTTCTGAGCTTCCAAAGAAGACTGTTTAAAAAAGAACCTGCAAGCCTGGCTAATTTTCCTTCATTACATTTAGCAGGCTACAAACACTAGCCATTTCTGATGCCAGCATTTTTGAAAATAAATTTGAGGTTATGTCGTGGCTTTGCATTGTTTCCATGCAACATCAAAAGTTCAGGTATGCAAATGGAGACTGAACACATATTTTCAGTTAAGCTTAGCAGAGCATGAATAGATTGAATAATTTAAGGCACAAAGTGTCTAGAGTGAGTTGAACATAATCTTTATATGAATCTTTAGATATCATTAAGACATTAATATGTCTATGTGTAAATCAATCTGTAATTTAGACCCCTTTCTTAACTAATGTTATTTATAATTAATTAAATCCTCTTTTCAAACATAAAAACTATATGACTAATTTGGGAAATTATGTGTGAAAAAGTTATCAAATTGATTTCATTTAGTAGAAATACTATTTTGTTATTCTTTTTTTTCTTTATTGTAGAAACATTCTTACTTTACATATCAATCCCCCATCCCCCCATCCTCCCATGACCTCCACTGACCCCCCCCAACCCACCCACCACCCACTCCCCAAGGATAGTGAGGCCCTCCACGGGGAATCATCAAAGTTTGTCACATCATTTGGGGGAGAGCCTAGGGCCTCCTTCCAGTATCTG